AATCGCATGGTCTCCGAATACTGTCCTCGCTCAGGCGGGGCCTCCCTGGACGGGTGGGAGGGGCACGAAACCTGATAAATCGCATGGTGTCCGAAGACTGTCCTCGCTCGGGCGGGGCCTCCCTGGACGGGTGGGAGGGGCACGAAACTTGATAAATCGCATGGTGTCCGAAGACTGTCCTCGCTCAGGCGGGGCCTCCCTGGAGGTGTGGGAGGGGGACGATACCTGATAAATCACATGGTGTCCGAATACTGTCCTCGCTCAGGCGGGGCCTCCCTGGACGGGTGGGAGGGGCACGTAACCTGATAAATCACATGGTATCCAAAGACTGTCCTCGCTCAAGCGGGGCCTCTCTGGACGGGTGGGAGGGGCACGTAATCTGATACATCACATGGTATCCGACTACTGTCCTCGCTCAGGCGGGGCCTCCCTGGACGGGTGGGAGGGGCACGAAACCTGATAAATCGCATGGTATCCGAATACTGTCCTCGCTCAGGCGGCGCCTCCCTGGACGGGTGGGAGGGGCACGAAACCTGATAAATCGCATGGTATCCGAATACTGTCCTCGCTCAGCGGGGCCTCCCTGGACCGGGTGGGAGGGGCACGACACTGATAAATCGCATGGTGTCCGAGACTGTCCTCGCTCGGGCGGGCCTCCCTGGACGGGTGGAGGGGCACGAAACCTGATAAATCGCATGGTCTCCGAGACTGTCCTCGCTCGTGGCGGGGCCTCCCTGGACGGTGGGAGGGGCAACGAAACCTGATAAATCCGCATGGTGTCCAAGACTGGTCCCTTCGCTCCAGCGGGGCCTACCCTGGAGGTGGTGGGAGGGGGACGGTAACCCTGATAAATCACATGGTGTCCGAATACTGTCCTCCGCTCAGGCGGGGCCTTTCCCTGGACGGTGGAGGGGCACGAAACCTGATAAATCACATGGGTATCCGAATACTGTCCTCGCTCAGGCGGGGCCCCTCCCTGGAGGGGTGGGAGGGGCACGAAACCTGATAAATCACATGGTATCCGAACACTGTCCTCGCTCAGGCGGAGCCTCCCTGAGGGGTGGGAGGAGCACGTAACCTGATAATGCACATGGTGTCCGAATACTGTCCTCGCTCAGGCGGGGCCTCCCTGGACGGGTGGGAGGGGCACGTAACCTGATACGGCCCGCGACGGGCGTCAGGCGCCTCGCGGAGCAGCGCCCCCACCGCGCGATGGCCCCATCGGGAAGCTCCGATTCCTCCTCCTCCTCCTCCTCCTCCTCCTCCTTCTCCTCCTCCTCCTCCTCCTTATCCTCCTCCTCCTCCTCCTCCTCCTCCTCCTCCCTCCTCCTTCCCTCTACCTCCTCCTCCTCCTCCTCCGCCTGCCTCCTCTTCCTCCCACTCGTTCCTCTTCCCAGCTCCTCCTCTCTCCTCCTCCTCCTCCTCCTCCTCCTCCTCCTCCTCCTCCTCCCTCCTCCTCCTCCTCCTCCTCCTCCCCCTCCCCCCTCCCCATCCCCCTTCCCCTCCTCCTTCCCCTCCTCCTCCGGCTTCCTGGGCCCCCGCTCGCGAACGGGACGTCGTCGCCTCGCGAGCATCGGGCCACACTGCGCGGTGAGAGAAGAAAAAAAGAAAATGAAGAAAAAAGAAAAAGAAAAAAAAGGAAAAAAAAAGAAAAAAGAGAAAAGAGAAAAAAAGAAAAAACGGTGAAAACAAAAAAAAAAAGAAAATATGGTAGAGTGAAAGTAAATGAAAAAGAAAAAGATGGAAAATCTAGAAAAAATGAGGAGTAATGAACGGGTAGCCCACTGGGGCGGTCCACCGAAGGCCCCTTCACGATATTCTCGTGTGTGGAGCGGTCCCGCTCATGGTTGCCCCGTTCGCGGGAAGGGTCGGGTTTTTGTCGTCAGCAAATCATGGGAGTCTCGTGTGTCCTCGGAACTCCATGTTCAGACGCATTGGCGTGCGCTAGCGCCTGGTAGTTGATGAGGAGGCGCCGGCTTGCGACGAGTCAGCGCCGATTCGCGTCGGTCAGCATTGGCTCACGAGAGCCAGCAAGACGGCATGGGAGGCCCCCGTGAGTTGCAACGCGCCCTCGGGCCGAGGGGGGGCGCGCACCGCCCACGGACGCGGGGCGCGGCCTCGTGGCCCTCGGCTGGCGCGGAGGAGGCGGAGCAGGAGGAGGAGGAGGAGGAGGAGGAGGAGGAGCAGGAAGGGGAGGAGGAGCTGGAGGAGGACCCTGTCCGTCGGCGCTCCTCCGGAGCACTCTCCGCACAACCGAGCCCCAGCCGCACGGACCCGCCCGCCTTTCCCTGCGGGCCCGGCCCTCCAGGGCTGCCCGACCCGCCCGCCGCAGGACGTCGGGCGCCTCGCGGAGCAGCGGCACTCCCACGCGCTGGCGGAGCACCAGGCTCCTCCTCCTCCTCCTCCTCCTCCTCCTCCTCCTCCTCCTCCTCCTCTTCCTCCTCCTCCTCCTCCTCCTCCTCCTCCTCCTCCTCCTCCTCCTCCTCCTCCTCCCCCTCCCCGGGGGGGGGCGGTCCCGTGAGATCCGGCGTGGCCAAAAAATTGCAACACCGCAGAAAGCACGACCCGAGACCCCTGGACCCCACCCGTCTGCGTCATTCTTTTCGAGCCAGATCGATCGTTGAGAGTCCCGGGGCCCGAAATTGAGCGAAAACGCCGAGCTCGAAAAAATCGGGTCGCCAGGATCTCAGGGACCGGGCGAGGCCCCCAAGTCGGAGCCGGTTGGAGGTCTGAGAAGGCCCTGCACTGGATCCGGCGAGCAGGAAGAGCGGGCAGGGATTCGAGGTTCCAGCTTACAGAAGGTGTTTGGCCTCTTTTTGTTGCTTCTGGGCGCCATTTTCGGGCCCAGGGATATTCCAAAACGGATCTAGGGTGAAAAACATCATTAGATGGACCCCTGGAGGGGCGGGGCACCGATTTGGGGCGGACTTGGCATCATCATCACCCCCCTCCTGACCAACACTCTGAGGTCCCAACCAATCCAGCCCCCCTGGCCGCCTCCACCCCCTAAAAGGCCCTCAAGACGCGAGAGAGATTGGGAGGGCATGCTTTGTCCGCGTTTGTCCTCGCTTGCATCTGCATGACCCTGTCAGGCAGCGCTTCGCGTTTCGCATGCTGTGGCCGCCGCCGTCTGGAAGCGAAACGCGCCTTCTTTGAACAAGCCCCAAAGCTTGAAGAGCAGAGATCCTTCTAAGAAATCGCGGGCGCTGGCCAGGCGGCCCCAAAGAGACCCGCAAGGCGGCTCAAGAGGGCCCCAAGACGGCCCACCCTGATGACTGGATGCCAGCATTTTCTGGTCGCGATTGACGAGATCGGTCGCTACCGATTGTGCTTCAAATTCTGGTATCGGTCGCGACGGATCTGCTTCAAAATTGCTTGCGACCGATCGGTCGCGACCGATTTGGGAATCGGTCGTGATCGGTCGCGACCGATTTGGAGTGCCGATCGGTCGCTACCGATCCCGACCGAAAAATCAGGGTTATCCAATGATCTCGGCAAGAGGCCCCCAAGACGGCCCCAAGACGGCCTCCATGGACCTCCAAGCCTGCCCTGGAACGCCGCAAGAGGAACCCACGACTGACCAGAGAGGGCCCAAAGACAGCCTCCGCTGGCTGAGAGGTCCGTTCCTAGACCTCCAGCGTCATGGTTTTTGTCCAACCACCCTGTGGTGTTTGGTTTTTTTGAAGAGACAGCGCACCGGCGTTCAGCAAACCTCCCTCCTCCTACCCTTCTTCCCTATTCCCATTCCTGCCTCTGCCCTCCGCCATACCCATTTCGGCGCATCTCTCACACGCTTCGTGGCCCCAAAGGGAGCTTCACCTAAGGCCCCAGTGGCAAAGCTTGGATGCGTTTCCCCGCTAATTTCGACACACCCCTCACATGTTTCATGGCCCCATACGGAGCTCCACCAAAGGGCCCCAGTGGCAAAGTTCGCATGCGGCTCCCCGCCTATTTCGGCACAACTCTCACACGCGTCGTGGCAGCATAGGGAGCTCCACCGAAGGTCCCAGAGGCAAAGTTCGCATACGGTTCCTCGCCCATTTCGACACACCCCTTTTCACGCTTCGCGGCCCCATAGGGAGCTCCACCGAAGGCCCCAGTGGCAGGGTTCGCACGCGGTTCCCCGCCCGTTTCGGCACACCCCTCACACGCTTCGTGGCCCCATAGGGAGCTGCACCGTGTGCCTCAGTGGCCTGGTTCGCATGCGGCTCCGCGCCCACTTCGGCGCGCTCCGTGCCCCCATAGGAAGCTCCACCGAAAGCGGTGCCACAACGCGGTATTCACAATTGCATACGACTGGGTCCTGCGCCAGAATATTCTCATGATGCCAACCTCCAGAGGTCTGGACCCGTTCACCGGGACCGGCGTTTCAACCCGAGTCGTCTTTTGACGGGCCGAGAATCGTGAAACAGACCCCGTCGTGTTGTTCATGATCCGAGGGCGTCTGTGTTAAAAGAGGCCCCCAGGACCCACAGCACCGCCCGGCGTCTCTAGCGGGAGAAGGGGGGGGGGGGGGGCGGCGGCCAAGAGGCGCGGTCGCCTCGCAGAGAAGTGCGCGGGCGCCACCCTCCGAGCAGTGCGCTCGCACACGGCGCAGCCGTCTCGCGACGACGGCGACGACGGCGGCGGCGACGACGACGACGCGCTCGCCGAGGCGCGTGCGTCGCGCCCCGAGCGCTGCGCCCCGAGGCCATCGAGGGATTCCTGGACGAGCTCCCCTGAAAGTGTGTTTCTTGGGGCAGCGCGCACGCGGAAGTAGCGCCAGGGAGGCGGCTTTCTGAGCAGCGTGGAGGGCGTTTCCTAGAAGGCTTCTTAGTCAGAGGCCTTCCTCCTCCTCCTCCTCCTCCTCCTCCTCCTCCTCCTCCTCCTCCTCCTCCCCCTCCTCCTCCTCCTCCTCCTCCCCTCCTCCTCCTCCTCCTCCTCCTCGGTCCTCTTCCTCCTCTTCCTCCTTCTCCTCACCTCCTCCTCCTCCTCCTCTTCCCCTCCTCCTCCCCCCCCTCCTCCTCCTCCTCCTCCTCTTCCCCCTCCTCCTATTCCTCCTTTTCCTCCAGGTCCTCCTCCTCCTCCTCCTTCTCCTCCTTCAGGTCCTCGATATGGACCTCATGGGAGGATTCAGAAGTCCCAGGTTCTTGAAGATCGCATTCTGGGCCGACATGCTCTCGCCCAACTCCTAGCTTTCCGCAGCTCCACTGCCCCTGTTGTGAAAATCCCTGAGGTCATCGAGGCGATTCGGCGGTCACGGGCACCAGCGAGCCCGGGTGGCGTACCGTTCGAGAGCTTTGAACAGTTGAAGGTTGCCCTCGAGGAGTGCATGCAGGAGAGCGAGTGGGGTATTCAAAGGCGGGGCAGGCACTCAGACTCAAGTGGGGGGGTCGCCCTGCGTGGGGAGAGGGGTGTTCCAAGAAAGGGAGGGCCCTGATGTCAGGGCAGTGTGCTTTTGGATACCCCAGAGTTTGTTTCAGCCGAAGTGCTCCCTATGATTTGGCTAGAGGAGTAAGCGGGGAGGGCTGTGGATGCCTGAGCGCCCTTGGGCTTGCAACGAGAGCTCGAATACGTGTTTCCCACGCCGCAACCTGTAGTCAAGCGCGCCAGGCCTAAACGGTGCCACATCGTACCCAAAAATCCGCCTCCTGCGGCCTAAGTCGTGACCAGGGAATCGCATGGATGGAAGGGCGCTTTCTGTGGAAAGCACTGCGAACCCGGGTGAGCCCTGGACCCTCCGTTCACAAGTCGCCCAGAGGAGGAGAGAAGATCGTGCGACAGCGAGCTGCAGCGGATGGGGGCCGCCGAGGAGCACAGCAGAGCAGCAGAACGCTGGTGGAACGACCAGAACGCCATCTTCTACAAGCACGCGGGGCCCAAGAACGTGCTGGCGCTGGACGACGTGCTGAGGTACAGCGGCCTGTGGGCGGATCCGCCAGGGGCCCCCCGCCGAGAGAGCGCGTATCGGCGGGCATGCGGCGCACAGGCCCTCTCTCTCTCTCTCAGCGGCGAGCCCAGTGGGGAAGTGAGAGGGGGCCTTCTCCGAAGGCTGCGGGGCTTCTCTGGCCTTCTGAAAAAGTCTTCTGCGTCGTGGGAGAGGGCTCGGGAAACTTCGAAGAAGGTCGGAGTCCTTCCGAGCCCTCTGAGAAGGCCCGCCCCCTCTGACCTCCTCCTTTGGCTCGCCGCCGAGACTCGCCCAGCCGGACGAGCAGCGTCACTGTCGCCGACGAGCCCACGAGATGCACGAGACATCGGGGCGCGCTCCTCGCACGCCGGAAGCGACGGGGCGGATCGAGCCGCGCGGTGGGGGCGTGGAGGAGCCGCGCGCGGGCATTGCGGGGGCCGGCAGTTGTGCCGGGTGGCGCACGTGGTCGCTGGACGAGGTGTCGTCCTTTTGTGTCACGCCGCCTGCTCTGGCGCACCACGCCTCGGCGCGACACGCTAACCACATCCCAGGCCCCCAGAGTCAACGTCGCGAGCCTTTCGAGGCCTCCCGCCCCGCGGAGCGGAGCGACACGCTGTCCGCTCGCAGGGCACAGCGTGCCGCCGGGGCCGCCGCCGCCGCGAAACGCCACGCAACAGCGCCTGACTGCAATTGAATGGAAATGCTGCAGTCGTCGATTGGGGAAGAGAGCACCCGAGAGGTGACCGCCGAAAGCCGAATCGAGGCGAAAGTCGAAACGTGCCTGAAGCAGAATCGGGCGCTTGTCCAATCCCAGACCCCCAACATCACGATTCTTTTTGTAAAGTGGATCCCCAAAGGTCTGAAAGAGCACGTTCTGTGGACGCTTGGAGGGGGGGGGGGGTCGAAACGGTGTCCCCCCCCGCTCCACCTCGAGGGGGAGGAGGGGTTCGAACCGCCAACCCCCTCCACCTGAATCGCAAGGGGCGGGAGGGGTTCGAACCGGGGGGGGGCCCTCCTCCCCAGTGGCAACCGACGACGGCGAGCGCCGGCGCCGCCGCCGCCGCCGTCGGGCAGCGACGACGATGACGACGACGACGACGACGACGACGACGACGTCGACGACGACGATGACGACGGTCGAGCCTTAGTAGGATGCTACTACGGCTGGATCGAGCCCTACAGTTAGATGAATGTTTTACGAGTGAACTGTTTGACAGACTGTCGCCTCCCTTCTCTTGTCTGCTGCCCGTGTAAGCCTCTGCTGCGGCACACTCGCACTAGAATTTCATGCTCTCAGCGTGGTCCGCCGCCCGCGGCTTCCCCCCCCTTCGTCGCGCCATTCCTTCCTCCTGCTGTGCCCAATTAGGCACAGGTGCATCCCCCGCTGTCCCGGCCGCGGCTTAGAGCAGAGTCGCCACCGACCAAAAGTTTGACGGATTGTAGAAGGTTCGTGGTTGGTGTGCGGGCCATTCGCGGTTCCGACAGCTCTTGGTAAGACCCGTCAGACCGTTCGTACACTAGGTCGTGAAAAATGATTGAGTCGACACGTGACCCGTCGCATTTCTTCAGGAAAATAGAGTTCTGATTTTCTTTGAGGAAATCCACAAGTGGAACCCCCAACCCTGTTCTTTTTCTCGCGAGTAATGTACAGGCATGATCGCGAGTTTTAGCGAGTCGCGTGAGAGTGCTCACTCTCTGTGCGCCTTGCGCAGGTCGACGGTCACAGCGCAAAAAAACAGCGTGTGCCCACTTCTGAACCAAGCGAGCAAGCCTTGAAAACGCGTCCCGCGAAGATGTGCTTGTTCTAATGGCATCGTGGGTGCCAGCGTGCACGCATGCGTACACGCAGTTCAACGTGCGTTGGTGCGTGCGCATGCGTCCGCCAATACACGCAATCCTTCGCCGATGGACGCACACGTGGAACCATTGGATACCCGCGGGACCACCGCGGGACAGCCCAGGGGACAATCCAAAAGACAACCGCGGAACAGCTCACGAGGCATTCGCGGGGCAACCGCGGGACAACCCACGGGACAGCCACGGGACAACCCGCAGGACCACTTCAACCCGAGCCCAAGCGCAAGCCCGAACCCGAGTCCGAGCGCGAGTTTGAGACGAAGCCCGAGCCCGGGACCCGAGCCAGCGAAAGAGCCCGATCCTGAACGCGCGCGCGCGTGCGCATGCGCGTGTGCGTGCGTGTTGGCGTGCACGTGGGCGTGCGCGCGTGCGCGTATGCGTGCGTATGTGCATCCGCTGTGTAGCACGCGGTCAGAACAACATATTCGTTTAAATGTCGTAATATTCGAGCTAGATCGAGCCCTGGAAGGGTTCAATGAGAGTTTGATCTAGCCATAGTAGGAGTTGATTAGTGATGGATCCAGCCTTCGTAGGCAGGCATTACAGCTGGAACCAGCTATGGTACGGTTTCAGAGCCGGACAGAGCCCGACGAGGATGCTAATAAAGTCGGATACAGCTATAGTAGGACAAATGTTCGAAGGATTCCGTTCGAGGGGGGAGGGGTGGTTTGCCCCACCCCCCCCCTTTCGACAGGAGGGAGGTTCGAACCCCCACCCTTGGAAGGGTCGGGAAACGACATACGAGAAGATGTTCGTACTACATGTTTGGTTCGGACGTGCGCCTCCGAGGATGGTGCTTGTATGTCCTTCTGCGTCCCATCCAGCGCCGTTCTGAGAAATCCGTGCGGACTTTGAGAAGTTCTGTTAATGTCTTGGCTTGTTCCTCTGAGTGCGTGCTTACCCCGTTCCGCTCCACCGATAGCACGCAGCCTGTGTCGGTCCTTATCTGTATCTCCTGCATCGTGACGAGCGGCATCGGTGGACAAGCACACGTTGGCGCTAGCACGTGTCTTGAGGACCACCGAAAGGGGCGAACCGAGCACGAGCCGAGGGCGCTCGAGGCAGACTGCGGTGGAACGGTCGTGACAGTGGTGGCGGTATCAGGGCACTGGGCGTCGTGGTTTTGGCTGCAACGTGGCTCCCCGAGGATCCCGGGACCGGACTGTCATCCCGAGCCGTTTCTGTTGACGGTCCCGGGGCCGAGCGAGGGCCCGGGCCCTCGGAGGCCGAACATCAGAGAACAAGCACCCGGCATGCATTCGCAAGGACGGGATGCCAGGGCAGTGGCAGTGGTGCTTCGCCGTACCTGCACGTGTTCCCACGCACGAGCTTTCCATCCAGGCGCCCACGGTTCTTCGAGCGTTCGAGCGCCCCGGCATCTCTGCCCGCGTCTCGAGGATGCCTGCCACTTCGTTGCCAGTCCATCGTCGGAGCTCCATGCCCCCTCAGCATGGCGGCCGCCAGAGGGCGGCCAAGCCGATTGGCGAAGGACGTCTACAGCCACGAGTTGTGCCACGTTCGCGCGCGGAGTGTTTTCGAGGGATTGGCGGGCAGCCTCGCGGGTCTGCCTGTCTCGATGCTTCCCCGGCTCCGGCAGTGGCTGGAGAAGGCGGTGGCCGAGGAGCAGCAGGAGAGGGTGCGCGAGAGCAGGGCCATGGTCTTCGAGGACGACCGACAGAAGAAGCAAGCCTCCCTGGAGAGGACAGGGCCACGCGAAAAGAAAGCAGAGATGGTTGGCCCACCCTTATAGGGGGGCTCGCAGAAGGGTGGTTGTCTCAAGGTGGGGGCAGGGAGCAAACCCAGTCGGATGCTCACATATCCGCCTTCCAGGGGTCGTGTGGGGGGGGGGGGGGCGATGTGTTCCCTGACCCCGCTTCTGCCTCTACCTTTAGGTCGGGCATGTCCCCCTACAGGCGTGTTTCCCAAACATCCTGTGGTGTTGGGCCCTCGTTTTGACAAGACGGTCCCCGCATTCCTCCTCTCCTCCTCCTCCTCCTCCTCCTCCTCCTCCTCCTCCTCCTCCTCCTCCCTCCTCCTCCTCCTCCTCCTCCTCCTCCTCCCTCCTCCTCCTCCTCCTCCTCCTCCTCCTCCTCCTCCTCCTCCTCCTCCTCCTCCTCCTCCCTCCTCCCGTCACCCCCCTTCACTTTGTCACACCCCTAACACGTTTCGTGGTCCCATAGGGAGTTCCACCGAAGGCCCCAGTGGAGGTGCCCGCATGCGTCCGCCACCACCAGTACAACGCTTCGTGGCCCCATAGGGGGCTCCACCGAAGGCCCCTAGCGGGGTGCCCGCATGCGTCCGCCACACCCAGTACACCGCTCCGTGGCCCCATAGGGAGCTCCACCGAAGGCCCCAGTGGGGGTGCCCGCATGCGTCCGCCACACCCAGTACAGCGCTTCGCGGCCCCACAGGGAGCTCCACCGAAGGCCCCAGTTGGGGTGTCCGCGTGCGTCCGCCATACCCAGTACAGCGCTTCGTGACCACATAGGGAGCTTGAGCGAAGAACCGAGTGAGCCGCCCGCATGTGTCCGCCACACCCAGTACAGCGCTTCGTGGCCCCATCGGGAGATCCACAGAAGGCCCCAACGGGGGTGCCCGCATGCGTCCGCCACACCCAACACCTATTACAGCGCAGCGCCTCTTGGCCCAATAGGAAGCTCCACCGAAGGCCCCATTGGGGGGGCCCGCATGCGCCCGCCACACCCATTACAGCGCTCCGTGGCCCCATAGGGAGCTCCACCGAAGGCCCCAGGCGCGGGGCCCGCATGCGTCCGCCACACCAAGTACAGCGCGCCGTGGCCCCATAGGGAGCTCCACCGAAGGCACCAGCGGGGGTGCCCGCATGCGCCCGCCACACCCAGTACACCGCTCCGTGGCCCCATAGGGAGCTCCACCGAAGGCCCCAGTGGGGGTGCCCGCATGCGCCCGCCGCACCCAGTACACCGCTCCGTGGCCTCATAGGGAGCTCCACCGAAGGCCCCAGGCGGTGCGCCCGCATGCGTCCGCCACACCCAATACAGCATTTCGTGGCCCCACAGGGAGCTCCACCGAAGGCCCCAGTGGGGGTGCCCGCATGCGTCCGCCACACCCAGTACAGCGCTTCGTGGCCTCACAGGGAGCTCCACCGAAGGCCCCAGTGGGGATGCCCGCATGCGTCCGCCACACCCAGTACAGCGCTGCGTGGCCCCATAGGGAGCTCCACCGAAGGCCCCAGCGGGAGCACCCGCATGTGTCCGCCACACCCAGTACAGCGCTTCGTGACCCCATATGGGTCTCCAGCGAAGAACCCAGTGGGAGCACCCGCATGCATCCCCCACACCCAGTACAGCGCTTCGCGGCCCCATAGGGAGCTCCACCGAAGGCCCCAGTGGCACCGTTTCGTTCCCCCCACCCAGTACGGCGCTTCGTGGCCACATAGGGAGCTCCAGCGAAGGTCCCAGTGGGACCGCCCGCATGCGCCCCACCCACCCAGGACAGCGCTTCGTGGCTCCATACGGGGACTCCACCGATGGCCCCAGCGGGAGTGCCCGCAGTCGTCTCCACAACCCACGACAGCGCTTCGTGGCCGCACAGGGAGCCCCACCGAAGGCCCCAGTGGGACCGCCCGCATGCGTCCCCCCCACCCATTACTGTACGCCCCATCACGCGTTGCGTGGCCCACTGGAAGCGGCACCCACAACGATTTTCTCGCAACTATATATGGTTGGGTCCTTCGCCCAGATATTTTGAGGATAATGACAAATAATCAAACAACTATTCAACAATGGTCGAAATAGTGTAAATCGTCTCCAGATGATTTGTTTTACTATTTTTGAATACTCCTCCTGTAGAGGGACAGGCCCGACTACCCTACCTCACTGACATGCCTTCACCGAGCTGTGCGGGGAGGCAGGCGCCGGCGGCGTGCCATCAGGCGGCGAAGCGACCGGGGCGGCCTTCGGAGGTTGGGGGGTTCTCAGAAGCCCTGCTACCTTCCAAGAAGCCTGTTCGGCAGCCTCGGATTAAGTCGGGCGTATCCCTCTACAGGAGGAAAATTCAAACAGAATCATAAAATAGTCTGGGGACGATTTGTCGATTATTGTTGCTTGTTTTGGGACATGTGTTGACTACTGCTTATTTTCCTTGCAAATCCGCCTGTAGAGTGACATGCCCGACAAAAACCTCGGAGACTCTTCTGGAAAGCACCCCCCCGCCCTCTCAGAAGGCCGCCCCCCTGAAAGCACGCCTGCCTTCTCGGAAGCCTCTTCGGAAGCCTCGGGTCCTCCTCTGGAGAGCGCCCAGCCGTCTGAGAAGGCCGCCCCCTTTGCCCCCCCCCCCCACACACACACAGACACACACACACACACACACACACACACACACGCACTTACGTACGTGCTGAGGCAGCGGGGGGTGCGGAGGGAGGCGGTTGGCCAGCTCCTGCTCACCGCGGCTGCTGCGTTCAGCGCACACACTCCGTAATGGCATGCAGTCTCCGCTTGGGCTACCGGGTCCCAGCATGCAGCCCAGGGAGGGTCAACTTGTTTTCCTCTTCTTCCTCCCACTCCTCCTCCTCCTCCTCCTGCTCCTCGTCCTGCTGCTCCTTCTCCTCCTCCTCCTTATCCTCTTCATCCTCCTCATGCTCCTCCCCATCGTCAAACAATCCTCCTTCTTCGCCTCCTCCTCCTCCTCCTCCCCCTCCTCCTCCTCCTTCTCCTCCTCCTCCTCCAGCTCCTCCTTATCCTGCTCCTCCTTATCGTTTTCATCCTCCTCATGCTCCTCCTTCCGCCCCTGTGAACATCAGTTCCTGTCCTCTCTTCCTCCCCATCGTCAAATAAATTATCCTCCTCCTCCTCTTCCTCCTCCTCCTCCTCCTCCTTTGCCTCTTTCTCCCCCTCCTCCTTCTCCACATCCTTCTCCTACTCCTTCTTTTCCTCCTCCTCCTCCTCCTCCTTCTCTTGCTCGTCGTCCTTCTCCTCCTCATCCTGCTCCTCCTCCTCCTCCTCCTCCTCCTCCTCCTCCTCCTCCTCCTCTTCCTCCTCCTCCATGCCAGCGCAATACACTACTCATCCTCCAGCCCGCGGGTAGGAGCGTGGAGGAGGCGAGGCAGCACGTGGAGGCGGAGCGCCGCGAGGCCGATCGCCGCGAGGCGGAGGCCAGACGGCGCGAGGCGGAGCGGCAGGAGGAGGCCGCGCAGGCCCTTCGCTTTTCCCATGCCCCTCGACGACGACGAGGAGGAAGAGGAGGAGGAGGAGGAGGAGAAGAAGGAGAAGAAGGAGGACGAGGAGGAGGAGGAGGAGGATAACGAGGAGAACAAGGAGGAGGAAGAGGAAGAGGAGGAGGAGGAGGAGGAGGAGGAGAAGAAGGAGAAGAAGGAGAAGAAGGAGGACGAGGAGGAGGGAACGAGGAGAACAAGGAGAGGAAGAGGGAGGAGGAGGAGGAGAGGAGGAGGAGGAGAAAGAGAAGAGAAGAGGAGGACGAGGAGGAGGAGGAGGAGGAGAACGAGGAGAACAAGGAGGAGAAAGGAAGAGGAAGAGGGAAGAGGAGGAGAGGAGGGAGGAGTAGGAGGAGGAAGGAGAGGAGGAGGAGGGGGGAGAGGAGAACGACGACGGCGACGGCGGCGGCGGGAGGAGAAGAGCTGGAGGAGGCGGCCGACGGCGGCCCTGGCTGTGGAGCTAAGAATACGCATGCCCGCGTCTGGTGGCGGAGCTTGTTGTACGCTGTCCTGACGGGGACCTGGTATGGGGAGGAGGAGCAGCAGGACGAGGAGGAAAAGGAGGAAGAGGAGCTACCGCATTCGAAGCTGATGCCACCCGCGACAGCTGCAGAAGGAGGAGGAGCAGGAGGAGGCCGCACAGGCCCTTTACTGTCTCACTCGACGACAACGGCGGCGGACACGACGGCAGCGACGGCGGAGATGGAGGAGGAGGAGGAGGAGAAGAAGAAGGCGGCCTTCTTCCTCGGCGGCGAAGACCAGACCGCCAGACGCTTCGCGAGGGCGCAGCACCCTTGCGCGTCCCTGCTGCAACGTGTGACTGTAGCCCAGGACCTGCGTTGTCCCAGGGGCTTCGGCTCCTCCCTCCTCCTTCCCGCTTCCCTCCTTGTGGCGACCTCCCTCCAAGTCCTCCCTCCTCATTCCTCCCGCAGTCCCACCTTCATCCATCTTCCCACCTTTCCTTTATCGCTCATGATGCGAAGTGTCCCAGATCTCAGGCCCACTTCCTCGCCCATCCTCGCTCCTCCGTTTCTCCCCCTTCCACCCTTTTTCTCTCACTAAAGTTCGTCGTTCTCGTCGTGTCGTTTGTCGTCCTCACCGGCGTCGTTCGTCGTCGTCGTCGTCGTCGTCGTCGTCGTCGTCGTCGTCGTCGTCGTCGTCGTCGTCGTCGTCGTCGTCGTCGTGATCGTCGTCGTCGTCGTCGTCGTCGTCGAGATCGTCGTCGTCGTCGTCGTGATCGTCGTCGTCGTCATCGTTGCCGTCGGTGCCCAAGAACCCCCCCTCTCTCCTCCTCGCTCCTCGGAAGGAGTGGGGCGCCCCCCCGGCCCTCCCCCTGTCTCCCCACTCCCCAGAGGCGGCGCGCCAGGAGGCCGAGAGGGCCGCGCGCCGGGAGGCGGCGCGTCGGGAGGCCGAGAGGGCCAGGAACCTGGAGGCGGCCCCCCCCTCCCCCCCCGTTCCCCTCCCCTCCCCCTCCCAGCCCCCCATTCCCCCTCCTCCGCCCCCTTCTCCCCATCCCCTTCCCTCCAACCTCTTCCTTCCCCTTCCCCCCCTCCACCTCCTCTCCCCCCCCCTCCATTCCCCCCCCATCCACCCACCCGCCCCACTCCCTCGACTCCTCCTTCTCCTCCACCTCCTGCTCCGCCTCCTTCTCCTCTCCTCCTCCTCCTCCTCCTCCTCTCCTCCTCCGCCTCCTCCTCCTGCTCCTCCTCCTCCTCCTCCTCCTCCTCCTCCTCCTCTCCTCCTCCCCTTCCGCCTCCGCCTCCTCCCTCCTCCTCCACCTCCTCCTCCTCCGCCTCCTTCTCCTCCTTCCCCCTCTTCCTTCTCCTCCTCCTCCTCCTCCTTCTCCTGCTTGTCCTCCTCCGCCTCCTCCCTCCCCCTCACTCCTTGTCCTCGTTCCATCCCATCGGGTCTGATCGGAAGAGTCGCCCTGCTCATTGCATGCACAGAGTGAGACAGAAGAGCGGCCTTCAGCTGCACCTGAAGCCGTACGCACACCGCACCCGCATAAAGGAGACGATACAAGTCCTTGCCTTCACCTCCACCCTCCCGCACCATCTGTGCTGAGGAATGCAGATCGTGAAGTCATGCGGGCGAGGCGACGTGACCGTGGATGTGATGCAACATGTCATGCAGGCTAGGAGGGAGCACGGTCATCCGTCTCCTCATCCGTCTCCTCCTCCCCCGCCCCCCGCCTTAATCTAACACGCGCGCACACAACCACGTTCGCCCTAACACTCTGACAAAGCTAGTACCAAAACTAATACCAAAGAAAGCTACAACTTTTGGATGCTACAAACTAGGCCCCTGTCTTCAGCGAGCTACATTCCGAACCTCGTCCTGCGGTGAGCGCGTTCTTCTTCGCTGCTGGTTCGAACCTTTGCGCCAGCTGCTCATCCGCCAACTTTGCGTTGCCCATGACCGTGCCCTTGCTGGGGGACGGCAGGACGTTGGAGGTGAGAGCAGCCAGGTGGAGTTGATCTTACGCACGCCCTCTCGGAAAAGTTGCTCCTGCTAGATACCGATGACGTTATGCTCGTTATCCTTGCTTTTGCCAGCAATCTCGGAAACGGCACTACGTAGACTAGCAGCGGAAACGTATGCGGGTAGGTATTAATTTTTGGTCTTGCCCAAGCAATTCATTCAGCCACGGCTTCAGGATCACGGTGGTTGCCCTTTTCTTCGTCCTTATCATAGCCGCCTCCGGGAGGAGCACTGGAAGAGGCCCCAGAAGCACGTGGTTGAGGGATTGGATGGGTGGGTACAGGAACAGCTCGGTCTGGCGCAGGAGCAGCCCCTAACACGAACATGAATACCTTCTGTACCGCCACGGGGGACTTGCTGCTCTGGGCGCACGGCGTTGCCTTTTGCAGCCTGTCCTCCATTATCGTAGTCTGGCCGCTGCGGGCCAATGGATAGCCACGATGCCACTCGGAGACACCGTTCGTGTGCTTGTGACCACCGTCCACAGCAGAGCGCAGTTGAATTTCATCGCGCAGCCAACGAACAACTGCAAGAGCTCCATGAAGCGTTGCCTCTGGCATGGCTACACGGGCAGGTGATGATAAGGCGAAATTGACCTTTGGTTTGGTCGGGTCTGCGCTGGGGCCGAAAGTGACGTGCGTCAGTCTGCCCATGTACGCCTGGCGACCAATCCAGTCCACGCGCTGCAGCACTGGCATCGCGGCGCGGAAGAGGCGAAGGACCGAACTGACATTCTGAATCGATTGCTTTCCCCCCCTGCTCCCTGCCACCACCACCACCACCCGTCCGCCCTCCTCCCCACCCCCTCCCGCACCCACCCCGGCCCTCCTCGATCTGCGTTTTCCTTTTGCTCTTTGGCGGCTACGAGCGGGGCCCAGCTCAAGCACAGGATGCTCGAGAGGGGCCGCCTCCACTCCCCGCCGCCGCCGTCTCTGCGTCTGTCTGGCGTCGCCCGAGGGGCGCCCCCGGGGACCCTGGCGCCGCCTACGTCGCGCGACCCCCGCGGGGGGCACGAGGCCGCGAAGCCGCACTCTAGAGACTGCGTGTTCTGAGTGTGCAGTCTTTCCTAGATGGCCAGGTAGGTGTTTGCACTGTCCTCCATTTAGAGGTTCTCAGACCTGGCCAGAGGCATCCTCCTGCAGGGAGATTGGAAATTCGCCTCGTAGACTGGCGAACGCAGATCCAGTCAGCAAAGATTGCATGTGACAGGCCGCCCTCCTCCTTTGTCGCGCATGGGGTAGCAATGATCAGCAGACCGCGTGTTTGTGTAGCTTCTGTTGTACTGTCCGCCTCCGTCCCCCCGTCCCTCCTGCCCATCCTACGTTGTTCCCCTCCCTCCACGTCCTCCTCCTTCTCAAGCTGCATTTGACTCAAGCAGCCTTTGGCTCAAAGGGTTCATATGTTGTTGCAACTATTCCGCCCACCGTACTTGCAGAGTTGCTGCATATGCCTTCCCGAGTGAATGAGCATTCAATGTCGTTCCTTTCGTCGCACAGCCTTGTCTGCATGGCGTGGAACGCCACCAATGTAGCGGTTGGAAGGTGATTGCATGCTTAGCTGTGGGATCTAACCAAATGCAGCATCGGCATTCTCAAAATATCCCCTTCGCAGCATGGAGTGCTCCTCCTCCTCCTCCTCCTCCTCCTCCTCCTCCTCCTCCTCCTCCCCCTCCTCCTCCTCATCCTCCTCCTCCCCATCCTCCTCCTCCCCCTCCTCCTCCTCTTCCTCCTCCTCCTCCTCTTCCTCCTCCTCATCCTCCTCCTCCGCCCGGCGCAACATGGAGCCGCCGGGCGAGGCCCGAAGGCCAGCCCTCCCCACCCGCGCGGTCGGCGGTCCTTATTGTTGATTGGCGCTGAACACGGCTCCCTCGTCATGCCCGCCCTCGGCGACCGATAGACCCTGGCCGAATGTCCCAAGTCTTCCCCCTCCACCATCTGCCCTTCTCATTGTCCTCCCTCCTGCCGCTCCTCCTCCTCGTCCTCCTCCTCCTCGTCCTCCTCCTCCTCCTCGTCCTCCTCCTCCTCTAGTCCTCCTCCTCTCTTCCTCCTCCTCCCCCTCCTCCTCCTCCTCCTCCTCCTCCCTCCTCCTCCTCCTCTCTCCTCCTCCTCCTCCTCTTCCTCCTCTCCTCCTCCTCCTCCTCCTCCCCTCCCCCTCCTTTTCCTCCTCCTTCTCGTCCTCCTCCTCCTCCTCCTCCCTCCTCCTCCTCCTCCCTCCTCTTCCTCCTCCTCCTCCTCCTCTCCTCCTCCTCCTCCTCCCTCCCTCCTCCTCCCTCTCATCCTTCTCCTTCTCGTCCTCCTCGTCCTCTTCCTCCTCCTCCTTCTCCTCCTCCCCCTCCCCTCCTCCTCCTCCTCCTCCTCCTCCTCCTCCTCCTCCTCCTCCTCCTCCTCCTCCTCCTCCTCTCCCTCTCCTCCCTCCCCGCCCCCTTCTCCTCGCCCCATCGCAGGCGAAGCGGAAGGCCGAGGAGGCCGCGGCCGCGGCCGCGGCCGCGGCCAGCCTCGCGCGGGAGCAGCGGCGGAGGCAGGCGGCGGAGGAGGACCGCCGGCCGCGGGGGGCTGGCCTTCGGACCTCGCCCGGCGGCTCCATGTTGCGCCGGGCGGAGGAGGAGGAGGAGGAGGAGGAGGAGGAGGACAAAGAGGAGGAGGAGGAGGAGGAGGAGGAGGAGTGGGAGGAGGAGGAGGAGGGGAAGAGGAGGAGGAAGAGGAGGAGGAGGAGGAGGAGGAGGGAGGAGGAGGAGGAGGAGGAGGAGGAGGATGATGATGATGAATGATGATGATGATGATGATGATGATGATGATGATGATGATGATGATGATGATGATGATGATGATGATGATATGATGATGATGATGATGAGGAGGAGGAGGAGGAGAGGAGGGAGGAGGAGGAGAGGGGGAGGAGGAGGAGAGGAGGAGGAGGAGGAGGAGGAGGTGGAGGAGGAGGAGGAGGAGAAGGAGGAGGAGGAGGGTGAGGAGAGGGAGGGGGAGGAGGAGGAGGAGGATCAGTAGCAGGAGGAGGAGGAGGAGGAGGAAGGATGAGCAGGAGTGGGAGGGGGGATGCGGACTCTGCGTTCCCTTCCTGATCCTCATCCTCTATCCCCATCCACTATTTACTCCTTCTCATTGCCTCAGCGCTGCGGAGGAGTATGGGGAGGCTCGTGCAAGTGTTGGGCCCTTGGGGGCCCTTGCCGAGTCCCAGGGCCGCCAAACAACAGTTCAGGATGAATCGATAGTCCTAGAGTCAAGTCGGGCATGTTCCTCTACAGGAGGAAAATTCGAAAATAGTCAAAAAGTCGGGGGACGATCTTTCGACTATTTTTTGATTCTGTTTTTAGCATGCTCTGATTCTGGTTATCTTTTCCTCTAAAAATCGCCTGTAGGGGGACATGCCTGACCTCATCCCAGGGAAATGGTCCAGGCCTCCGAGGGCTCGACGGTGCAAGAAATGACGGTGCCAGAGGTCTAGGGAGGAGGGGGGAAGGACGAGGACGAGGAGGAGGAGGACCGGAATAAACCCAAGATGCACCAGCGATGCTGCGATCCGCCTTCCCGTCCCCACGTCCCCTCGTCCCCCGGTTCTTCTTCATTTCACGAAGCGCCCCTCTTGAGAGGTCAGCGCCCTGTGGGCCTGCTCTTCCGGCCAGACCCCCGTTGTGAAAGAGAGAGTTGCCCTGCAGCTTCCCAGCGGCCTGAAAGGGGTGCGGCAGGGCACGGCAATGGAGAGCTCACCGAGGTGTCCAGCGAGATCCCCGTTCTGAGAAAGGGGGGCCGCCCCCATCGTTTCGACTCCTGCACAGATTCACGCGTCCAGCCATGAACTCCGGAACAAAAGGCCCATATTGACCAGAAGCAGACCCATGTTGACCATGTGTGCAAGATTGTGAATTTCAGTCGCAAGGGAGCCGAAGCGAAAACCAAAGTTTGACAGGGGCCGTCCTACATCCCTACCTATGCTGCAGTGCTTCAAGACGAGTGCGCGCGGCTCTGAGGCGAGTTACCATTTCTGAAAAGGGGCCGCCATTCATCCCTCCATCTATGCTTGTCACTGTTGCACACGTTGCAGACATGTGCGCAGAATTACGGCGCAGGGCACGTGCATATTGAACATGATCCCGCTTCCATCCTTCGAATTGCTGCAAACGTTCGAGGCGAAGGAGCGTGGAGCTAAAGCGGGAGCCCCATTCTGCAAGCGATCCCCTCCATCCTTGTAACCGCTGTAAGCCTTGAAGACGGACGAGCGCTGCGCTACGGCGACAGCTGCACTTTGAAGACGGCCGCCTCCATTCGTGCACTTGCTGCAACTTCCAAGCTTCCAAGCGGGGGCTCCCCGGCCACTTGCAATTTTGGTGCTCGCGCTGTCACTACTCTGCTCTCCTAGGGCTATGCAGCGTCGTCCGCGCCTTGCTTCTGCATGTCCGAGCTCCGTAGCTGCCTGCACGCCCTCCTGTGCTCAGCTGCGTTCTTGCTCTGATGGGCACTGCGCAGTTCTGACGAAAGCTTGAGAGGTCCCCTCCACTGCGTGCAGGGCGACACATCCAGGCCGCCCTGCCGACGCGCCCGGTGGCCAGACGAGGCGTGCTGCGGAACGGCGTGGGCGGTGCCGAAACACGGGCACAGACATCACCAGGCATGTTCACCAGCAGCGCCGCCCGCCTCTGCACAGAGGCGCGGACGAGCCTGTGCGCGCCTCGGGCTGCGTCGAGGGGAGAGGCGCAAGAGGAGGAGGAGGAGGAGGAGGAGGAGGAGGACAAGCTAGGTGCGCTCGCGTCATATCTGACGTCCTACCCCTCCCTCCCATCCCTTACCATGGCGATGATTTTCTCTATCCGCGGACGCGTGTCGTAGCGGACCTGTGGCTCCGCGCGCGCGTGCGTAGTGGGTGGTGGTGCGCGTGCGTGCGTGCGTGCGTGTGTGCGTGGTTGTGGTGGTGGTTGTGGTGGTGGTGGTGGTGGTGGTGGTGGTGATGATGGTGTGTGTGCGTGTGTGCGCGTGTGCTGTGGCATGGCACGGGAAATGAGGCCAGCGCTGCAGCGGGAGCACGAGTCGAAACGGGCGGAAGCGCGGAAATGAGGCCAGCGCTGCAGCGGGAGCACGATTCGGAACGAGCGGAAGCACGGAAATGAGGCCAGCGCTGCAGCGGGAGCACGATTCGGAACGAGCGGGGCCCGAAAATGAGGCCGGCGCCTCAGCGAGAGCAGCATTTTGAAAACAAATGCAGGCGAAAACCCAACTCCCGGGAATCCTGTGTGTAAAAAAGCAGGACGCGGGGGGGGGGTGTCGGCTACTCCCAGCACGCCATCAGGGGAAGAGGGAGAGTAGTATTCATATTGAGTAGTTGTGGAGGCGGAATGGTTGATGCTCGCGTGGGCAAAGGCTGCCCGCTCTGTCCCGCCTTGGCTCTTTTTTTGTCTCTCTCTCTCTCTCTTTGTCTCTCTCTCTCTCTCTTTCTCTCTATTGCTCTCTCTCTCTCTCTCTCCATTTGTTTGTCTCTCTCTCTCTCTGTGTATAGGTCGTTCTCTCTCTCTCTCTCTCTATCACTCCATCTCTCTCTCTCTCTCTCCCCCTTCTGCTGCCCTACGTCGATTTTGACCACGTATGGGCATCGAGGCGGTGCAGAGGGAGGACGAGGACGAGGAGAAGGAGGGGGAGCAGGAAACGAGGATTTGCTCCTGCTTTGTTGCTCAAGAAAAAGAGCGTCCCACACATCATTCACGATGGTCGTGGAAGGATGGGGCTTGAGAGGGCTGAAGGACAACCCCATCGAATGGGCAAGGCGTGCTGTCAGCAAATTCGCGGACCACCTTGTCAATTTCACCATTCAGGAACCAAAGTAGTGTCACTAGAAATTGAACCATGTAGCCGGTGCCTTACGGGCACAATCTGCAAACTTGTTGATAGACAGCGACGGGGGCTCATGTAAAGCATATTGCACCGCAGCGGCATGGCACGTCGAAGAGTACACATACGCATGTACTTAGGTTGGAGCTCGTACTGGCTATGCAGTGACGGCGGGTATCTTGAAAGATCCAGGTATGGGCTTCCAGCAACTAGTCTGGCAATGGAAAACGCCGTCGACCTGATCCACAGCATCTATGTCAAAACTACCAGCTAGCACCACTGTGCTATAAGCTTGGGGGACACAAGAATGAGGAAGGAGAGGGGGAGGAGGAGGAGGAATGGGTTGGCGGAAGGAGGAAGAGTCGACTAAACCCCCGATGCATGAACGGTGTTGCGTACATCCTCTCGCCCCAAGTTTTCTCCCCCTAATTCCATACAAGCGATCGTCTTTTTCTTACGGGGAGCGCCCACTTGAAAGACGAACGCCTCATCGACATGCCATTCAGGCTAGAGCTTCGTTGTGACGCTTGTTTCTCTTACTGACATATATATATATATGTGCTTGTAGACGTGAGGAACGCGAAGCGGAATAAAGTCGAAAGGGAGATACATGTAGAATGCAATGTTGACAAGAAGCCACCGTTATTCCGCGCAACGGTTGCATACGATTGCAGCTATAGTCATGTAGTTCGAAGGGGGTCACAGAGGAACCCAATTTTGAAAATGAACCGCCCTACATCCGCACAAGTGATGCACACTTGAGAAGCCCTGGCGAACATGCGCAAGAGTTTTCAAGCGAATGCCCGCGAAAGTCTGTAAGGCATGTCTATGTGTGTGTTTTAATGTTGAGCGAATATGTGCGGTGCCTTAGCAAGATCCACATGTTGAAGACGGCAGACACTGTAAAGCGAGTACGCGCTGCACTATGGCGAGAACCATTTTTTGATCGCACAACCTGCCCTCCACCCATGTAGCGATTCTTGGCGTCGTTCGGACGTGTGCATTTTTCTTTCGGCGAGGGCCATCGAGGAGCATCCTTGATCATTTGGCGAAAAAAACCACGCACGAAACCGAACAAAACACAGGGAATGGACGTCCGAGCGATGGCGAGGATTGGGAACTCTTAAGACGAGCGAGCTTCTCCAGCAGCCCGCCGAGCGCGTCCACGGCGAGGGCCACGCCTGGCACGGCCTGCTGCAGCGCCGGCCACTCGCCGCCGCTCTCCGTCGGAGGCTCGGCGCTGCTCTTCCCGAGGTCGAGCAGCTGCGCGCCCTTCTCGAGGATGCTCTCGCGCTGCCCCTGGATCGTCTGCTCGAGCTCGGCGAGCTGCTTCTCGTTGCTTCCCATCTCCTCGCGCAACCTGGCCCGCAGCCGTTCCTTCCTGACGCGGTCGCTCTGCGTGCGCAGCTGCCCGCCCGGCTTCTTGGCAGCCAGCGCCCTGCTGCTCGAGCCGATTCTGCCCCTTGCGCCAGCCTGCCGAGGCCTCCAGCGCGGCTGAACTCTCGTCGACCGCCTCGAAGGCCTTGGTCTGTTTCTCCAGGATCGCGAGCCGTTGAGCCCGCTGTCGTCCATCCTGGTCTCCAGCGCCCTCCTCAGCTCTTGTTGCCCCGCTCCCTCCTTCCCCGCCTTCGGCAGGTCCTCCTGCGGCCCGGGGAGGCCTGGCGCCCCTGACCGCCACGGCCAGTTGGCGCTCGAGTTCTTCGAGATGTTGGCCCTTGTCCAGGAGCTGGAGCTTCTGCTTGCCGTCGGCTGTGGCGTCCGCAGGGCGCCGCACAGCCAACTTGCCACCTCCTCCCCCGCTGCCTTTGGCATGGCCGACGAGAATGGCGGACTTCGAAAAGTGGCAGACTTAGCTGCCTCGGTACGCACGTTCTGATACGCAACACGTACCGTGCTCAGAACGTCCGCGTCAATACGTTGCGTGTTGGCTCAGCATGTTGGCCCACGTGTCGGCGAACGCATCGCGTCAGACCTACGTTGTCAGTCTACGCGTTGAGCTTCGTAACAATACGGTACGTGTTGCGTGCTGCGTATCGAGGCAGCTAAGGCGGCATAGCATGCACTGAACCCTCTTCGCATGATTGTGAAGCCGCTTGCCGTCGCGCCCCACGCACGATTTGCAGAGCCATCGTTGCCGCCCCTCGGCCCGCTCGGTCGCCAATGCTGGTCGCTCGGCCATGGCCCGCGCACCCAAAGCACCAATGCTTCGCATTCAAGGAGAAGTCGAAGAGATCAGCTTGTCACCCAGACACCGGCCGCCACCCGGAACCTGACAGGTGCTTTGCCCACCCTTCGTTTTGAGCCAAAATGGTTGCGGATTAATGCCTGCGTCTGTGTCTGTGTCTATGTGTGCGTCTGTGTCTGTGTCGGTGTCGGTGTTTGTTTGTCTGTGTCGGTGTCTCTGTCTCTGTGCCTGTGTCTGATTGTCTGTGTGCCTGTGTGTCTGCGCGTCTGTGTGTCTGGGTGGCTCCCACCCCCGCACTGTGCCCCGCCGCCGCCGGCCCCTGGTGCAGCAGCCGCCGCGGGCCCGCCGGCGGGGCTGGCCGCGCCACGCGCTCGGGGCGTGACCCGTCCCCCTGAGCGGCTCGCTCCCTCTGCCCCCTCTTTCGGCCGCGTCCTCCGCCTCCTCCTCCCGCCTGCAGGGTGGCACAATTCGCTTCAACGGCACCCCGGTTTAGGCCTTTCCGCTAGCGCAGACGACCCCTGCTTCGCCGCCGACGCAAAAAGTGTCTGTGTGTTTGCGTGTCTGTGCATTTTCTTTGTCTGTGTGTCTCTTTGTCGCGGTGCCTCTGTGCCTCTTTGTCCCCTTGTCTCTGTGTCTGTAAGTCCTTTTGTCTCTGTGTCTCTTTGTCTCTGTGTCTGCGTGTGTCTGTGTAGCGGTGTGTCTTTGTTTCTGTGCTTATGTGTCTTTGGGTCTCTGGGTCTTTGTGTTGAAGTGGCTCTGTGTCGCTGAGTCTATTATGTGTCGTTGTGTCTCTGTGTCGCCGTGTCTCTGTGTCTCTTTGCTTCTGTGTCTCGTTCATCTCTTTTTCTCTTTGTCGCTGTGTCTTTGTGGTTATGTGTCTCTGTGTTGCTGTGCCTCTGTGTCTCTGTGTCTCTGTGCCTTTGTGTTTATGTGTCAATGTGTCGCTGAGTCTCTGTGTCGCTGTGTCTCTGCGTTTCTGTGTCGCTGAGTCTCTGTGTCTCTGTCTTTGAGTCTCGGTGTCTCTGTGTCTGTGCCTCGTTCATTTTTTTGCCTCGGTGTCTCTGTGTCCGTGTGTCTGCGCGTGTGCTACTGGGCCTGTGGCCCAGACTTCCTGCAGTGATATCTGTAGCCGCAAGCATCCTCGTGCATCCAGGGGCGTCGAGGGGCGGACGGATGATTACCCCCTTAACCGCATGGCTCGTTCGAGGTGCGTAAAAGGGCTCTGACATGGAGAATCTGGATACCCCTTTAGAATTCCATTATTTCCTCGGGCGCATATTGACGAGAATCGCGATAGATGTATACATTGATGTGTATATATATATATATACACACTCCTTCCACCTATGAAATCACAAGGGAAAGCTTTGAAAACGGCTTCAGATGCCCCCAGGAGGGCCTCCAAGAGGCAACAATCATCAAATTCCGTGCGGGAAGCGTACATTTTTAGCATATTCGCTTCTCCGGCTCTGACAGCGTCCAAGATGACCCAAGAGGCCCCCGATATCGCCCCAAGACGGCCCAAGAGGCCCCAAAAGAGTCCCAAGCCGGCCCAAGAGGGTTCCGAAACGGCCCAAGAGAGCCCCATGACGGCCAAGAGGGGCCCCAGAGGGTCCCACAGAGGCCCCAAGGGAGCTCCAAGAGGGCCATAAGAGGCCCCATGGACGGCCGAAGAGGGCCCCCAGGTGGCTCCAAGACGGCCCCAGTTCCCTAGGACTGCCCAAGAAGCCCCAGCCCAAGAGGGCCTGCAGCCGGCCCAAAAGAGCTCCGAAAGTACCACCAAGAAAGCCCAAGAGGCCCCAGAGTTTCCAGAATGCTTCCAAAAAGACTCCCAGGAAGCTTCCCCAGGCTTCAAGAAGCCGCAGCCTTGATTGCAGATGATGCTGCTGGTCGCGCACAAGCCCCATCCTTGGATGGGATTGGCGCTCTCGCCCGAGCGCTGGCCACACCCCTGTCTGGGAGTCATGCTGCCGTCTGCGCGTTGGCCAAATCCTTCATGGAACGCGGCACTCATTCAGCAGCGCCAGCCACACCCCTCATTGACTATTGCGATACCGATCCACTCGCACGGTTCCCACAGCCCTCATGGGAGAATGGTGTTCCGCCCAAGCGCCAGCCACATCCCTTTCCAAGTTGTGTGCTACTGCCCCACCGCTGGCCGCATCTGTCCGTGAGACTGGTGCTCTCGTTTGAGCCTCGACTACATCCGTCTCTTGCGAGCGCCACCTCCGGCGCGAGACAACTGGCGACCGCAAGTGCCGTTCCTTCGTGCTGGGCGAGTGTCAAACCTGACGTTCGGTTTGGACGGAACGCGTCGGGTCTGTTGCCAATCGGGAATGGGTCGTAGCGCTGCGGCTACATCAATATGCCAACCGCAGAGTCAATCAAACATACAGGTGCAAGGATACATAGTCTAAGGCGAAGCGCAGCGGGCCTTCAAATCTCATGTATGTATGTGCAGATGCACACACACCTCTCATTTTCTCGATCCCGTCACGATATCGCCGATTGGTTTCCGTCGTGTCTGCGCACCAGCGCAACCTGCCAGACCGCACCACCTCAGGAGAGGCGGTTCCGCTCGGCGAGGGCGCGCCCCGGCATGATCGGTCCACTGCGCGGGGGCGCCGAGAAGCTCCCGCCCTCGACACACCTCGGCCGCCCTCATGGCATGATTCGAGCACCCCCCCCACGGATTGAGGCTGCCTCAGCTCAAAGAGAAAAACAAACCAACGAAAAACGCCGTAAACATAAATTGTTGGCACTCCGCGCGGATTCCTTGGATCCGCGGCTGGGCCCCCGCGGCGGCGCCTCTGGCGCGGCCCCTGGCGCGCTCCGCGCGCCAGGGAGGGGGGGTCCAGCGCAGATCCAAGAAATCCGCGCGGAGCGCCCAAAATTTATGTTTAATGTGTTTTTGTTATTCTTCTTCTTCTTCTTCTACGGATTGGGGCTGCCTCAGCGGGCCCTCGACTGCCTCGGTGCGCCCTTTCTGAGACGCAACACGTACCGTGCTCAGCACGTCTCTTTGTCGACAGGTTGCGTGTTGGCTCCTCGTGTTGGCCCACGCTCTGGCGCACGTATCGCGCCAGACCTGCGTGTTCAGCCCGCGTGCTGAGCTCCGTGCCCGCACGCTGCGTGCTGCATGTTGCGCATGGGGGGCCGCCGAGGCCGGGCCCCGGCTCGCCCGCGCCCCCCCTGTCAGGAAGAGAGGCGCCGCCGCGAGACGCCGCCGGCAGTGCGGTCCCAAGCCCAGGAGGACAGGGAGAGGTGGCCGGCCATTAGAACAAACAAAAAAAAAAACAGGAGGGAGAGCAGAAGCAAGGAGGGGGAGGAAGGAGGAGGGGGGGGGGGGAGGAGGAGGGGGGAGGAGGAGGAGGAGAGGAAGGAAGGAAGGAACGCGGGGCGCTGTCACTTCAAAACGAGGACCCAACACCACAGGATGGTTGGGAAAAACCCAGAGGCAGCGCTCGTGGCGCGCTCGTGCGGTCGGGCAGCTCGGAGGGTGCGACGGCGGGTGGCCCAGGTCCCAGGCCTTCCCTCCCAGCCCCTCTCCCCTTTGGCTCTCCTCCCAGCCCTTTCTTCTCCCGTCCTCGCTCTCGCCTTTTTCGGCCTCCTCTCCACACGTCCTACCCTTATCCTTGCCTCCTCCTCCCATTCCTCCTCCCTTCTTCTTCTTCATCATCCTCATCATCATCAGTAGCAGCATCATCATAAGCATCATCAGTATCATCATTCGCATTATCAGTATCATCAGCAGCATCATAATCAGCATCGGCATCAACATCATCATCATCATCATCATCATCATCATCATCATCATCAGCATCATCAGCATCATCATCATCGTCATCATCCGAATCCTCATCATCAGCAGCAGCATCATCATCAGCATCCTCATCATCATTACCACCATGATCATCATCATCCTCATCATCCTACTCCTCATCATCATTATCATCATCATCATCATCATCATCGTCATCGTCATCGTCATCGTCATCATCATCATCCATTTCTCTGGCCTCCCCACCGCCCTCATCCTTCCCATCCTCCCCTCCCGCCTTCTTTCTCCCATCCCCCCTCCCACGCTCGGTCCACCATGGAAGGCGTGGGTCATCTCGAAATGGGGTCAAGGACCCTGAGCGCCAACATCAAGGGCTCGAGAGAAATCGAGGAGGGGCCCAGCATCCAGGGGTCCACGATGCGGAACACAGGATCTGGCCCTGATCTCAGAGTGTCCCGCACGCGTGGTACGCAGCCAGGACCAGGCCCGAACAGACATTGACCCCACAAGGGATTGCTTCGTTTCGGGGCCATGATTGGTTTGCTGGGTGTGTCCGCGGCCTTGCCATGTCGACGCGTGCAAGGTGCACATCCCACGCCGGTCATTGACTGAACGTGTCCACAGGCTTCCCCCCCACACGTGGCATCGGCCAGCTCGTCAGTGCCCAGCAGGGTGGGAGGACCGTGTAAGCTAGCGCGGCTGAAGCGGCAGCGACCTCTGCCGCAGAGGCCTGTTGGCCTTCATGAAGCCACCCCCAGGCCGGGAGCTGGTAGGAACTTGCATTGCAGAATCTAGCAGAATCAGCAGTTGACGATGCGCACCACTCTGCCCCGTCCCCTCGTTACCTCTTTCAAAAAGGCAGGGTGGGCCAGACCCGTTGCGTTGGCCCTTCGAGTCCACCAGGTGGCGAGCCATGATCGAGGCCGCGAAGCAGCAGGAAGACCTCCGGCAGAAGCGGAAGGTGGCTTCCCGGGAGGGGCCGCCGTGGGCGCTGCTTTGCGAGGCCGAGGACGCCGTCGTAGAAGCAGAGGATGCTGCCACCGCTGCCATCTCGATGGCATTCTGTAGCCTGGGCGACAGGAGATCCGACGTGCTCTCGGCCTCGGAGCTGATGGCCTCGTCAGGAAAGCTGAGAGACGAGGTCGACAGGAGCGAGGATCTCCTCGTAAGAGTGGGCACTAGCATGGAGTTTGCGGACAGCGCCTTTCGCTCCTCAGTGGACACGTCGGTCAACACCAAGCTGAATCAGCTAGGTGTGCGCATCGTCCGTTTGCGCATGGCGCTCCAGCAGCTTGCCGTTGAAGTCTCGACGGGGCGCCAGCGCGCCGCAGCGCAGTTCTGCTCGGAGATATTGCGTTTCCGCGATCTGCGTTCTGCTGGGACGCCTTACCTGTTGTCGTGCGAGAAATTTGTCGATATGTTGCAGCGGTTAGGACGTGAGCGCATTGATGATTTAGACCTGTCACCACTCATGCTGGAGTGCCTCGAGAAGCCAGTGTTGGAAGCCGTCTTCAAGTGGTTTGCGGACGAGAGGGGTGTTCTCGAAAGGGAGCGGCTCGAGTCGCTGTTGACCAGCAGGCGATTCATGGTAAGGCAGGAAACGTCTATCTCCGAGGAGCGGTCGCCGAACAGCCAAACAATGTCGTGCAAGCGCAAGTTGGCGCAGGGCTCAGCTTCATCTCAGCGCAGAATCCGATCAACGCGTGCCAGAAAGGAGCTCATGTCCTGATCATGCACGCGCTCATCGTGCAGTTCCCTGGGCAGCGTGTCTGTGAGGGTCCTATATAGGCCAGGTTTGAGCCATTCCGGATCTGCAGCACGCGGCTCGTAGTCTCCCGTATGGTCTGCCGTATGGTTTCCCGCATGGTTTCCCGCATAATCTCCCGTCGGCTGGTTCGAGAGGATCTTGTGTGTTGCTTATAGGGCCGGGCGTGCGCCCTTCCAGATCCGGAATCCCGTGGTTCATGGTCTCGTGCGTGGTTTTCCGTGTGATTTCCCGCGCCGGTCTCCCGTATGGTCTCCCGTACGGCGTTCCCTCTGGTATCCCGTTTGGTATCCCATATAGTCTCCTGTATGGTCTCCCGTGTGGTCGGTCTATCATGGTGCTCTCCCGTAGGCTCCACCGCGTGCCCTCCCGTATGTTTCCCCTTAGGTTCTCGCACATGGTTTCCCGTGTGGTCTCCCGCCTGCTCTCTCGAATGGCTTCCCGTGCGGTCTCCCTGTGGTCTTTTTCCTATTGTTTTCCTTGTGGTACTCCCTACTGCGGGTTGCTCCATAAGCGTGGGGGGTACCCCCCGACGGGGGTCGGAGCGCCTTCGGCGCGCGGTGGCTGCCCGCGACGGGGTCGATGTGGGGCTGTCGGCGGGGGTGATGCCCCCCCGACGCTTATCAAGAAACTCGGGGTATGGTATGCCCCATTGTATCCCCTATGGTCTCCAGTATGGGCTTCCGCATGGTTTACCGCATGTGGTTTCCGCATGACGTTTTGGTGTTTTGCATGGTCTCCCGCATGGTCTCCCGTATGGTGTCCCGCATGGTCCCTTGCAGGGTCTCCAGGATGGTCTCCCGTATGGCCTGGCGCATGGTATTCCGCATGGTCTCCTGTATGGTTTCCCATGTGCGTTCCGTTTGTCGACCCGTATGGAAACCCGTGCGTACAGTGCAGATTAATGTTATCTATACTACTGATGTGTACTGCTTGTGGTCATCTGCCGCCAGGGTGTAATTCAGAGTTGGGTATCGCGCTAGAGGGGGGAGCACCTGGACCGAGCACGAGGCGAGCTAGACTCAGGAGCACCGCGCTTTATACCATGTGCCGCACGTTGAGTCGGTGGAGCACGCGCGCCGGCACCTACAACATCGTTCAGTGGGAGTTGGTTCCATGATGCATGTGCATGCAGCGTCTATGGGTACACAGGTACTTCCTACATATGCGTTTGCACACTGACCAGAAAAATTGCACATGACACAAACCAAGCACACACACACACACCTCGTGGCTGGCACCATGTACAACGCCTCAACTCCGACCGTGCATAAGTCGAACACGCGCGTTGTTTGTCATGGCACCCCACGTCAGCCACTCCATAGCATACCGTACCGCGTGCAGCTGTGTCACAAGCGGGCTGATTTCCGCTGCTAAGGCGGCACACAAGTGTCACAAGCCGGTCCACCAGATTATTTGGAACAGCTTCTTTTGACCACCAGGTTACTTGGGCTAGATTATGTTTATAATTTGTCTTTGTCAGAATGTTGAGTTTGGAAGAAGCGTCGCAAGCTGGCTGAGATTCGTAATCGACGTTGATGCCGCAAGTCTTCAGAGTTGTGTTATTGATGCTTCGCGTATATCACCAGGACACCCAGGTAGTGTTTCTGTAGGGCAGTGGTCGAGACAACCGAGGGAGGACACGAGTCAGACCGAAGTTGGGATCAGCTCGACTTGCCCTTAACGATGGCCAGCGTGGAGTCCTATTGGGGGCTTCCAGGAGGCAGATTGGAGACGTGTTGGGTCTCTCTGATTAGCCTTTTGGGGAATCGTTCGAACCTCCTGGGGCTCACATGGAGCCATGTGTGGTGCGACCGACGCCACCTTGGGGCGATCAAAGTATCACTGAAATACGAATGGATGGTCCCCAATTGAAATTCCACGCACGCTCATATATATATATTATCTATATATGTATACATACCACAATAACTTATACTACGGCCACACAAACTAATACAGCATTATGTATTAGTATATACGTTAGCGTACGATCGCATGGTATAGTAAATAAACAAGGCTATTGTATAACACTGAATCGTAAACGTATTGTAATAAAAACATGTGATGCCACATTTTAATCTGCTATTATACACCGCAACGAGATACAACAAAACATGCTATAATCGAATACATTAGATTGCGATGGTACGCCGTCTAGTATTCAGAATGCAAGCCATGGACATACAACACATCAATGTAAATCACACCGCAACTGATGCAACGCAGTATAAAGTAGTATAGGCTCACCGGATTCGGTATATCACACGAAACTGTGCCAGGTTATGAAATAGAATGGTGTATGCCATGTTGTAATTCGGCAACATATGGTAGAAGTGAAAAGGCTATGAGCTGATGAAATACACCAGCATAGTAAATACACGGATACGGTAGCATGATGCACTGCATGATAGTACAATGCAGCATTCAGATCAGAATATGAGGTAGCCCAGTACTATATATCAGGGAAAGTAGTCACATCGAATCTATATATATATGTGCGATGTAGTATGTTGGCACGTACGATGCAATATAATGATATGGTATCGCGTTTTACATTGCACCATGTAATAATATATCATATCACAGTGCGCACAATACCATGCAATGGATGTTAGTACCACATACCTTTACCTATTACGATGTAGTAACATACCATATATATACGATACGATGGTAAACTAGTAGACGTTGTGATCAAATTCAAGAACCCGTATACTACAGCATCATTTGGCACGGACATCGAATTAGATTTAGTATTCTGTAATAAAGGAACATAAATATGAAAATCTGTGTATGTATACATACACATCTATTCGTGCGTTTTCGCAACATGATGCGTAGGTGTAACGTGAGGGGGGCCGCAATGGGGATGTCTCCATCGCCACTGGGGCTCAAAGTGCTGACGGATGCAGACTCTCGTCCATTACCTCCTCGGAGAGTCGCTGCGATCATCGGGCACCGCGGCGATTGTGTGTGTGGTTCGGACCGAGTGCCCAGCCTGCGTGTGCAGGCCTGCGCTGAGCTGCGGCGCCGGCGCGCCGATCGCCGAGGTTGCGCGTGTCGCGCAGAGGCCGCCCGCGTGGAGTCTCTGAGCCTGGAGGACGAGCCTCGCGAGCAGGCGGCTGCAGCGAGTGCCAGGCGGAGCGCCTCCAGCCATTGATGATGGCTCTCTTCTGAGCGCGCTCGGCGTCGTGCCGGGCGACTTCGTCATGATCCGCTACGCGGTCGGCGGCAGGCGCGTGTGGCACGAGAGGCTCGTGCTGCCACTGGCACTGGCCTCCTCGGCGCCGTGGGGCGTCGGGATCCTTACTCCCGATGGCGACGCCTACTCGAAGGTGCTGATCGGCGGCGCCGACGTCGCGGCGGTCGTGGTGTGCGCCGGCGGGGCGGCTGGAGGCGCTGTAGCAGACATCGGAGGCGACGGGGAGTATCGCTTCCGCGCGGTGCCTCTCGCGGCGGCCATCGCCGTGGCCCAGCAGGCGGTGGGGGCGGAGCTCGGGCTGCCAGCCGGCGCGGCGGTGGTGCCGAACGTCGGTGGGCGCGTGATCCCGGCGGGCGTGGCCGCGGTTGCTGTGGGGGCCGTCCCGGCCGCAGGCGGCGGCGCGGCGGCTGGGGTTGGCGGCTTGGCGGCGGCTCTCGGCGGTCCTAGAGCTGGCGGAGGCGCGCTGCTGGCACCAGCAGCTGGAGGCGGCTTGGCGGCTGAGGTCAGCGGCCTGGCGGCGGCTCTCGGCGGTGGCGGAGTCGGCGGTGGCGGCGCGGCGGTCCCTGGTGCCATTGGCGGGGCCGCAGGCTGCGGCGCGCTCGTGGCCGCGCCCGCGGCGGCAGCCGTTCCTGGTGCTGTGCCTCTTCTCGGCGGTGGAGCGCCGGGCGCGCCTGGGGCTTTGGCGGCGGCGCCCGCTGTAGCGGCCCCCTTGACGCCTGCAGCGGCTGCTGGGCCTGCGCCCCGCGTGGCCGCGGTCGGCGCGGCGGCGGCTGCTCTTCCTGGAGACTCCATCATCGGGCATTGCCCGATGATCCGCCAAAGCGCGACTATCATCATGAAATGGCGTTACGACACACCGATAGGTGGTTACGGAACCTTACGATTTGGTATGACATAACGATATGCTATTATATATTTTGCGGTTTGCTTGTATGCTATTGTTATGGGAATATATTATGTTAGATAAGTTATACGCCATGGTAAATGAATCGTGATATGTTCATGTCATGTAGCCGCGCGTCTGGAAACGCCATTTTGCTGGCGTCCACGCGGGTGCCCGCGCTGCCCGTGGGTCCGTGAAGCAGGCGCGCGATTCGC